ATCCCATTTATTACTCTTTGCATGCATTCTTTTTTTTTTTTTTAAAGTATTGCTTCACTGTGATAGAATAATAAGTTTTACCACTGTTTCCCTTACAGGAAAGGCAGAGACTTTAACTGTATTTGTTACCAAATGCTGGTGGTATTAGAATTTCTTTGATTCTGGACATCAAAGGGACGATTATGTTGCTGCTAAAACAATCAGCTGAAAAACATTTTATGCAGAGTACGTCTTTTTGTAGAAGGTGACAGAAACCAGGAAGAACAAGTCCTTCATCTCCCTCATAATAAAATACAATTATGAATGTGGATCCATACAAAGAGCTAAACCCATCAGTCAAGAGAATATTATGTGTAATTTAAATTGAACTTAATGTGTTTTGTTTAATTAAAGTGAGGATTACTGTTATTTTGTTATTGTTTAAGGCCCTCAGTCACACTATAATATAGGCATAGTATTAAGCAGTATCAATGAAGTATTGCTCTCCTGTGCCCAATGCTGACTATAGTTTCATTCAATATGATACAACCTCAATCTGTGAATTTGTATCACTCCCTTTGTAAAACATATTTTGTAAATAAACTGATTATATAAACATTGTGATAGGTTTTTTTTGCTTGAGACATATCTCTGTGTGTATACATGTGCTGTTTTCAAATGTCAGTGGATGTACTAATGAGTTAAAACTCTGCAGCCATGCCCTTGTTAGCTAAGAGGGGAGACACACTCTTACTCATGCATGTATCCAGTCAGAGTAACTCTATTTACCCCTTTTTGCCTTTCAAACCAAAGTAATGTTTCTAAATTTTAATAAGCTGAATTAAACTGCTGGCAGTCCTGGATTCAGCTCTGCAGACATCTGGAGCCTGCATGGCCTCTTACTGAGCTACAGCAATGGCTCTTACTGTAGACCTTTTGATGTATTCAAGAAAGGATCCGAATGATTCTTTGAAAAAAGTTGTGCTCTATTTCACAGGCTTTTGCAAAGGATAATGAAGGAAAAGCAACTCATCACTTTGTTATGCCATTGTGAAGGATAACAGGGGCTGAGTAAGGGAATTCAGAAAGTAAAACACTACAAAGGGAACAATTGCCTTATGATTTAAACTATATTAATGTGATTGTTTTGTCAAATGTAGAACACTACATAACTCCATAAAGGCTGTGGATAGCATATACTGTTATTATTAACAAACCCATGAAGTACAAATAAGAACAATCCACATCCAGAAGAAATATTTGGCTTTTGTAAAAATGTCAATTTTACATTCAAGTAATCTTAAATGTGCATCCACTTCCATCACAGTTCTCCCACGTAAAAAGAGACCTTTGTTGACTTGTCTGGATATTGCTAATTAATCCCCTTTAATGCCAAAGACATCAGACACACATACAGTAGCGTTAAGTACAAAGTAACAATTCTTTGATGATCACAAGATCAGTTAATGTACCTTTAAGTTTAGATAAGATTAACTGAATGCCAGTGACATCTCCTTCCTTTTGTTTGGTATTTTAATTCCATTATATGCCATGTTTTGAGTTCTGAATAAGAATTCAGGTTGGCTTCTGTCTGATATAAAAATAAGACTATATAACCTGCTATATAATCTGAAGAATATATAAAGTATTAAACAACAGATAGTCTTTAGTGCAGGGGTTCTCAACCTTTTTAATGCCGCGACCCCCCAACCGGTCGTAAGCCGAGGACTACTCAACCAGTCGTAAGTCGAGGACTACTCAACTGGTGCAGCACTGTTTGCAGAATGGGATTTTTGGCAGGCTCAGCAGGGCAGAGACAGCCTGGACAATTCCTATTGGCTTTTGAAAGCCAATAGAATTAGACTCTATTCAAGAGAGTCTATTCTATTGGCTTTCAAAAGCCAATAGAATAAAAGGGAGTAGCACAGCTAAGGAAAAGGGGGAAAAAATGGCAGACTGCGGTTTGGCGACCCCCGTGAAATGGTCGTTCGACCCCAAATGGGGTCCCGACCCACAGGTTGAGAACCACTGCTTTAGTGCTTTTGTATATGGACCTGTGTATCCAACCTAATGCATGAAAAATGTGTGACAATGCCCACATTCTTAATCCAAATGCAGGCACATATAAAAGTGCAGACGTTAAGTTTTCCTGTCGTTCTTCTCATGCTGTGGTAATGATTTTATTTCTGTAGTGTTCTTCTTCCCAAAAGGAGCCCAAGGCAGTCTGATGGATGGATTATGGAGTGGGTATCAACTTCTAGAATCACCTATATAGATTTTCCCAATGACAATCTGTCCCTAACCTGGGGCCTCAGATTTTCCAACAGATGTACTCATTGCCACTGTGCTGCTGGTTGCTTTTTTCTTCTCCCCCCCCCCCCTTTTCCATTATTAAAGCATACTCCAAAGAGCTAGGTCTTCATGTATCCAAAGTAGGCTAATATGAGTCTGGCCATTATTTTTCATTAGCCAATTAAAGAGAAATATGATTAATAATGAGAGGCTTAATGTGAAAAAGTCAAACCTTTAGCAGTTTCTAAAGCGATTTTTTTCTCTCAATATTTTATTATTGCTTAAAACAAAATGATAGTCTAGGGAGAAATCAGCTACTGAAGGATTGCCACTTGCCAATTGAAAGTTGGTTAGGTTGCTTGTGGGTTGGCAGGATGGCAACGGGGATGCAAGACTTCAGTCACAGTTGTGGTGTCTGTAGAACGTTGGCCATTAAAAGGGCCTAGTCAGTTTGAGTATACTTAAGCCCTTTAGAAAGAAGCTCAAGGACCTTTAACATCTTTTATAGACTCAGACAGTCGGTTGAAGGAGTACAGCCAGAAAAAGCAAGGGAAACTCTTCTGGCATTTGGTATTAAATGGACCACCCCTGTGCAAATTCCCAGAATCAATGTTAAGATATCATTTAAATTGCAACTATGAATATGCCTTTAAAAAGGGGAGGAGGAGTGGGTGTCAAATTTTCAAGCATTAGGCAGCTTGATAGGAAACAGCATTATATGTATATGTGGTTCTGCATTAGGAGTAACTGAGGTACCTCATAACAGGCTGTTTTTCTAACTTTCCATAAAACGGCAATCCAAAAATGCACCTTGGGTCCATTAGTGATCCAGGAAAGCGTCACAAGTATTGTTGCAAGAAACAGTATTTTCTAAAATGAAAGGGGGGGAGAAAAGACTGTTATAATCACTATGTTGAAATGAATGATCTCCTTTAGATTTAGAAGATGATGTTGGACTACGCTACAAGTAGTCCTTGATTTACGACCACATTTGCAGTCGGAGTCTTGGCTGCTAGGCAATGTGGTTGCTTAACTGAGTCACACCCAATTATACAAACTTTTCCCCCCATGGTTGTAAAGTGAATCAGATGGTCGTTAAGCAAATCTGGTTTCCCCTATTGACTTTTGTTTGCCTGAAGCCAGCTGAGAAGATTGCAGATGGCAATCATGTGACCCTGGGATGCTACAACTGTTGTTAAATACATGCTGGTTGCCAAGTGCCTGAATTTTAAACATGTGATCGTGGGGAGAGGGCAACAATTGTTCAGCTCATTCCTAAGATGCTTTTTCCAGTGCCATCTTAATTTTGAATGGTTGAGGATTAACTGTAGAATGCTGAACACATGCAGTTCTACAACAGTCACATAATTTATTTTCAGGAGTAGGAGGAGCAGATCCTAATTTGGCAAACATATTACATAGTTTAAGGGACAGAAAAAGCCCTGTATTTCCTATAGTAGTGTGAAAAATTAATTTTTCTTAGGTTTAAATGGCTAGTTGCCAGAATAGAAAATAATAATAATAATAATAGTAAAGTTGGAAGGGACCTTGGAGGTCATCTAGTCCAACCCCCTGCTCAGGCAGGAAACCCTACACCATTTCGGACACATGGCTGTCCAGTCTCTTCTTAAAAACTTCCAGTGTTGGAGCATTTACTGCTTCTGGAGGCAGGTTGTTCCACTGATTAATTGTTCTCACTGTCAGGAAGTTTCTCCGTAGTTCTAGGTTGCTTCTCTCCTTGATTAATTTCCACCCGTTGCTTCTTGTCCTGCCTTCAGGCGCTTTGGAAAATAGCTTGATTCCTTCTTCTTTATGGCAGCCCCTGAGATATTGGAATACTGCTATCATGTCCCCCTTCGTCCTTCTCTTCGTTAAACTAGACATACCCAATTCTAGCAACCGTTCCTTGTATGTTTTAGCCTCCAGTCCCCTAATCATCTTTGTTGCTCTTCTCTGTACTCTTTCTAGAGTCTCAACACCTTTTTTGCATCGTGGTGACCAAAACTGGATGCAGTACTCCAAGTGTGGCCTTACCAAGGCATTGTAGAGTGGCATTAATAGATTCCCATTTCTGATCATTAAGGTTTTATATAAATTAGAGATCCAGAACATCATACTTCAAAAACACCAATTACATAGTGCAGGGGGCAGAATAGCCAGTTTGTATATACTCAGCAATCAAACCCTGATGTATCTCATGTTAATCATTTATCGTAGTTTAATGTTTGTGGTTCCTGCTTGTTTTTGGAACTCATCCTATCCCTCAAAAAGCATGCTGGCGTAAGAATTCCATTATTCCTATGTAGGAGGAGATTTAAATTAGAAGCCTTAAAGGAAACTTCTAAAAATCCAAAATGCATAGTTTACAGAAAGTATGTTTTTCTTGTGCATTATAAAAAAATGTGAGAGATTTCCAAACAACTCTTCTGTTTATGAGATTGAGATTCTTAAGTTGCAAATTGGGAGACATCCTTGTTAAGTACAAACTTTTAATACAGGTTGTTAGTTCTGCTATGAAAGGAGGATTTTTTAAAAAAAAAAATCCAATTTTTAAAATTGCACAAATCTTTCCTTGGCAGTGTTCCATGTCTGCAGCTCAGAAAAGGTCTATGGTCCATGTAGCCCCAGGAAAGGAAAATACGTTTGCTGACTAATGCCACTTTAACAAAATATGATATTTGCTTCCTGTTGAAGAAAACAAGTTAGAAGAAACACAAGTAGGTGTTTGGTCACTGATCTAATGGAAACATTTAGTTCAAAAAAACAACAACAAACCACCAATAATCATGTGCTTGTAATGGGGCTTAGATGCCACAAAGTGGTATAGCAGAAATAAGATGTTTGATCGGATTGTAAATGATGACATCAATAAAACATGCCACTATTTTAAACATTAAGAAAAAAGAACAGCTTTACAATGCACTTTTGAGTAACTTTGAACAAGATACTTCTGCAAATGCAGAAAAACCATGAACGTCATTATTATACAGTTTGTAAGTAACAGTTTTATCTTCCAATCTCTTTCAGAAAATGCCCATTGGAAAACAGCTACTTTCTCTCTTTCTATTCCATAATTCTGAATAAATACTAAGCACCACATCGGAATTCCTGGAGCAGATCATTTCCTAGCTTTACAGAGCATTGATATTTCACTCCAAGTTGGCTGGCTGTATTTGAAATACGGATAAGAAGTCCAGTTACTTCTGGGATTTCACCACCTCTAGCTAGAATCTGAAAGAAGTTGAGGGAAAAAATAAAAATAAATTTAAAATTAGAATATTACCTTATGGCACAGACAAACATTGTTCTGCTCTCTAGCATGCTAGATAGCTCACAGATATTCACAGACCAAAAGAGAAAGCAAAAAATTCTAAAAACTCATTCATTAAGAAAAGAACTCAAAACAGGTATATTAGTGATTTCTGAAGAAGTGTTTGTTACTGCTCTGCCCACCGTGGAGGGAACCAAAATTACTCCGCAAAGAGGATCTTCTGCTAAATATTTTCAAGAGCTGAGCAGCAGCAAAACATGCCTAAACACAGGACCTTTTTAAATTAAACCCAATGAAGGTTAAAAAAAACATGAGTGTTGTATAGTCAAAACCAGTTAATCGTTTAAAATTACTAGATCAGATTACAATTCCCATTTCTGATCTATGATTACTATTTTGAGTGATGGGAGGTATAGCCAAACACATCAATGAAGTACCGCGTGGAAAAATTGAAACATATAAATGACTAAGTTTTTTCAGTATGGGAATTGTAATATTCTGCTATTAGGGGGAAAAAAAACTTACGTATGTAATCAATTCCCTGGCTACGGTGTGTCCGTTAGGAGTAAATAGCACAAAGCTGATAATCAGATGCATAACAACATGTTTAGCTGCAGAATGATTTACACTGGTTTTGCTGCTTAATAAAGTTTGTAGGTCTGCAACAGAAATGGTTGGCATCCTTGAGAGGCTTGTCAGATAGTCACATACAGATCTAGCTTCTACCTGTTGACAACAATTGGAAGGAATCAAGGGTTAGCTGAAGAATAAAAGTCATATTCATTTTATGAAATTTGCAGAAAAGTACAGACTGGATTCGTAAGCTGATAATGGGAAGTAATGAGAGTGGAGAAGGGGAGTGGGCCAGAAGAGGAAAGATACAAAATATTTTTTTTAATTGTCTCTTTAGCCTTGAAAAACTAAAGCACTGCAGGCTGTGATCCAGAATTTGATCCATGTCTCTCTCTCTCTCTCTCTCTCTCTCTCTCTCCCTCCCTCCCTCTCTCTCTCTCTCTCTCTCTCTGTGTGTGTGTGTGTGTGTGTGTGTGTGTGTGTGTGTGTGTGTGTGTGTGGTAATAAAAGGAAGTGGCAAAATCCACAGAGCAGAATGAAGGTAGATTGTTATATTGTGGGGAAAAGAACAGAAAGTTCTTTGAGGGCTCACCATAATACTACAACTACAAATCAAACTCCATGCAATTTGACCTCTTCTGATAAAAATTTCTGATAGGAATTCAAGTGTTTGGCTTCCTCCTACTATTGTTGTCAAAAGTTTCCCTCCACTCCTTTTCACCTCTTCAAGCTGCCAGAACAAACAGTTTCTGGAGCCAAAATGGAAGCAGAATTTGATGGTCTGTGCATTAAAGGAAATTATTGGCCAGATAGAACTTAAAATATTTACTACATAAAAGCTATGTCAGGGATGGAAAAGAAATAAAAAACAATATGCTGCTGACCTTTAATTTTAAGCAAATGATTTCCTTATTCACATCTATTTACATATATATATATCAAAGTTATTTTTAAACACACAATGCACTCCTTTTCTATTGTCAATCATTGCATAGTATTGCATGAAATGTGCCCAAAGTTAAATATTTACATATATAACATAGTTATCCTTGCTACCATCTAATATAGATTCTTGGTAACTATAACATAAAAACACAATAATAACATTTGTAAAATAAAAACAACAATCAAAACAGGCAAAACCAAAGTCCAAAAGGCAGCTGGTATCAACCCTTAACCGACCTATGAGAGCCAGCTTGGTATAGTGGTTAGGCACCAGGCTAAAGACCAGGAGTCTGTGTGTTCTAGTCCTGCCTTAAGCTTGCAAGCCAGCTAAGCAACCTAGAGGTTATAGTGGCTGAAATCTACACGTAGCCCTCTGAATTTTTGTGACCTACTTTTCTCAAGAAATAAGGTTATTCAAGGAAAGCCAGAACAAGGAAGTAGCCAGCCACTGGTTTTTTGAACTTTTGAAGAATGTAAAAGAAACCAACTAGATCAGTGTTTCTCAACCTTGGCCATTTAAAGATGTATGGACTTCAACTCGCAAAATTCCCCAGCCAGCATGGCTGGCTAGGGAATTCTGGGAGCTGAAGGCCACATATCTTAAAATGGCCAAGGTTGAGAAACACTGAACTGGATTCATGGCTAGATTCACTCTTGGAGTTTGCATTAGTGGGCAAAATACATTTAGACCTGGCAGCAAGACCAAAGCCATGGATCAGCCTTGTTGAATATCTATTTTATCCCAATCCACTAAACAGGATAGAATATAACCATGTTGCTCAGAAATAATCATGGTTAACTCAATTATCACACCAATTATTCATAACACTAGTGTTTATAGAAACCTAGCTTAAATACATACATAAATTTTAGTTCCCTGATTATCCTGGCCCACATTCTCCAAAGGGACAAGAAAGACCAACATTAATTGACAGGATAAGAATTAACAATGGTATTGAAGGTAGAATATACTGTATATTATTTATTTTCTCTATAAAATGTTATGTAGAAAACACCATGAAACAACCAAAAGCAAGCAGGCAGATCATAAAAAACAGTGGCAATTTATCTCGCTTCTTTCAAAGGTAAATTTTCTGAGTAAATTTTCTGAAATTTACTTTCATGCGACATTCAAATAGAATTGTTGTGTCCTTACACTAACAAAAAGTAGCCTTGCTGTAAGAGCCAAATATCTGAAATTCTTGATACAAAGTACTCAGATAATATAAGTATTTACAAATCTAACTTTTAGCTCAATATTATTTCTATATCCAGTAATTTACACAGAAATTCATTTCTAAATTTAATTTTCTATAAAGCTTCTCATGTTTCATGGTGGCAGTTTCATTCTGTTGTCAAGGATTAAATATTTCCTTTTCTTTGTGGAAATTGCTGCAGACTTTTCTTGGGAGGGGGGGGTTAAACCCTTTTATCCTTCATTTCTTTGTGTTGCATTTATGTTGCAACTATAGAAAAAGAAGTGTGGGATGGAAACTATTTACTGTAGAATGTTAAATTAGGATATGAGTAGCTACAAAAATTAAAGGTGTAAACAGAAGCTTGATAACAATTTAATGAAAGAGGACTTGGGAAGTAAAGGAAATGACAATTAGCATTTATAGAAATCACAAATATTTTGTGGTGCCATCTGTTGTGCTATTTTCCACCAGCCAAAGTCCACCTTAGATTCTGTTACTAATCATACCTCTTTTGCAATTATATATTTGATACTACATTTCAGTAAAGCTGCTCCCATTCAAGGAGACCTTTCTATGCATATTCTAATGTATATTAAGCATAGATGGCATAGAAACCAATCAAAGCATAAATATTAGTAAGTGTTGTGTAAGCTATCCTTGAGAGAAGCAACTGGAATGCTCAATTGTCATCACTACATAGATCACCTGAAAAATGCTCACAGCAACTTGACTGACTTAACTGTTCTTTGGCCTTGAGTCAATGGACCATCCAATTCTCAGCTCTATTGAGAAATGTGAAAGAGACAAACTAAGGAGAATATTTTAATAAGAATTTAGGAGAGAGAAAGAAAGCAAAGACAAATACTCTGCTTTAGACCAGTGTTTCAGTTGTATAGTAGGATGTAGGACAAGTAGTCCTTGAATTATATCTATTTGTTCAATGACTGATCAACATTACGATAGTGCTGAAAAACATGGACTTACAACTGACCCTCAAACTTCTGACCATTGCAGCACCCCTGTGATCATGTAATCAAAATACTGGCCAACTTGCATTTACAATGCCCCCTCCCATCTTTGTCATCTTCTTTGCTTCCTCCCCTCTGCTGGGCTTGGCAACTCTGGCTTCCCTCAAGGACTATGACCTCTGTGCCTTGTATCCCCACCTTCTCCTCCAGATAACTCGCCAGGCAAGAACATACTTTCTTCATTAGTAATCATTATAGAACTACCCTCTTATTACTAATACTCAAAAGTCACACAATGAGACTCTCAAAAGCTATAAAACCTTCTCACTAAATAATTTAGAAGAACTGTCAGAGAATATAGTTGGCTGAATACAAATCTTCATGGATCTTAACACATGCCAAGGGACTATGGATACTTTGTTAGGCCATCTCATTCTCATTCATCCAATCCTTTAAGCCACTCTTACTTTTTATTCCCGAAGACTGTTCCAGCCTATAAAATAAAGCTAATGAAGAATGCTTTAGCAATGATTTCTGAGCTGTTTTGCAAGCATTGTCGCAAAAACATCTTTGTTTTTCAAAACATCATATATTACCATGGCTAGAACTTCTTACCATTATTTGAGTTCTCTGCTGATTCACGTTGTTTGGAGTATAGTAAAATACCAAAAGCCACAACAAGTTAGAGGAATCTGCTTGTGACAACAGCAACTGCTTTGCTGCAAGATCAGCCCATTCTCCAAAGTGAATCAACAAAAGCCAGTTGTTGAAGGCTTCATCCAAAGACCTGGAATAACACCAACATGTTTATCAACCTTACCTTTCTATTTACAGTGGTACCTTGATACACATCATTAATTGGTTCCATGAGTACTACACACCTTTTTCCCATAAGGAATAATGTAGTGAGTCACAAGGCAGCCAACACTGACAATTCTAGCTTGTGTGTTGTGTACCAAACAAGTACCAGGACATGGGCTGAATACCAAATTCGATGAGTTTCAAAGCAGTTCAGTACCAAGGTACCACTGTTATTGGAATATGACTTAAGTTCTTAGAAGGCTCTAAACTGAAACTATTAAGACTAGCCAAGTTTTTTATTTGAAGAAGATCAATGGGAATAGTAATATGCAATAGTGCTAATTTTACACTAACAAAAATAATGCATTGAAAATAAGTTTGTTTCCCATACATGTAGCAAATTACAAAAAATGATCGCTCACAAGCTAAGACAATCTTTAAAAAAGTAGAAAGGAAAGCAAGTCCATTGCTACTTACTCAGAGCCCTTGACTTCTACTGTTGTTTTGAGCATTCCAGCAAGGTGGTCTAAATGCTGATATAGACTATTACCAGGCAAATCTAAAGAGAAATGTATTAAGCATACTTGATGCTTACTGAACTCACATTAACTCAGTATTAATGAGTAACATGAAAAAAATGTAAGTGAGCTTACCTGAAGGAGCTTTAAGGAAAGCCATCACAAGTGAGTGTGGATTATGAGGAAAATAGGCCTTCAGTGGAAATTTATGCTGAAATGAAATTATTATTATTTTTAATTCTAGTTATCAAGGACCTAAATCAATTTATGAGAATCTTTAAAATCTGCCATAAGAGAAGATATGCATCTAAAGCTAAAAACTACTTTCTGTACTTAAAATACATGCACAGAAATAGGTTCTTTAGAAGAGACTGTATAATTGGCTATTCTGTGACAAAAAAAGGCTTTCTACAGATATGTAGTGGCATGGGATAAGAAAGCCTATTTTACTATGCAGCTTCTTTCAAGTAATTTTCTGCATGATTTGGGTTATAAAGTCTACAATCAGTAACTGAAACTCACCATGGTTGGGGAAAGCTACTTTAATGCATCAGTATCCATTTCATGAGAAACAAAAGATATCAAAGCTCACAATTTTCAATACAACCATTGGAATCCATGTGAACTACCTGATTAATAAAAAATAATTCTGCAACGGGGGGGAGGAGAGGAGAAACAGCAATAATTGTTTAGAAATCTCACTTCAAATATTTCCCGAATTAGGGTAAATGAAAAAACCCTGATACGTATGACTCATTGGAAATACAGAGAAGTACATGACTGGATGAATAAATTATACTTCCTTATTCTGTAACATATGTAAATCAAGATAAGAAATCATAAAGGTTTTTTTGTTAAATGAAAGTTGTGAAGGAATTACTACTTCACTGAAGATACTTGTAAGGCAGCAAAAAATAATTTCTTCAACACATGATTATATTACTTAAAGAATTCATTTCATAAATGGCTTTTAAGAAGATTAAGAAAGCTTCATCTTTTATCAATGATTATCAAAAAGGACAAATTTTTCAATACCTGATGGGAGGAAACAAATCATACTGGGGGGGGGGGAATTATAGACACAGACATCTTAGCCTATATCAGCAAAAAAAATTATTTTCATTCATTCTGTCTTGATTGTACCAAATGATAATCCTGCAAGCAAATATGCTTAGTAAATATTAAAATATAAGATAATACACATTAAGAAGCTGGTAAAAGCCATGATGAAATCTGTGCATCATCCAGATATCACACAAATTTGCATTATTAAGTGATTGGACCAGTCATGTCATGATGCAAATGATATAATTACATCGTATGCATAACTATGACCTGTGTATTGTCACTTTCCCACAAGTCTCTCCTCATGGATACCCATGATTGCATAGATGATCTCTTGATCTAAATGTATTAGGAAGCTTATGTTATGCTGTTAAGGCACATGCTAATAGTTTATTCATAGTTTAGGAATGTCAAATATTTGTGCAGTATTATATCAATGATGGCGAACCGTTCAGAAGATGCCTAACTGGTGTGTCATAGACAAACATCTCTGAACAAAAGAGAAATAATTCTCTACTCCCTCCCCGCCAATCTAGGCCACTCTGAACAACAGCACTTGGCAGCAGCACCAAGGCTGGGCCTGAAATGGAGCCCAGGCTTTGACTTCAATCCTAGGTACCACTACTGCCACTCAAAAAGGCTGTTTTGCACCATTCCCCAAAGCACGCAAGCCTTGGGGACAGGTAGAATTGTCTCTGTGGCCTAGCGTTCCCCAGGATCTTTTGTGCGCTGCTTACCTTCAGGCGGTGTTTTCTTTCTGCTGATAGCCCCTACCTGAGGTTCTTTGAGGCCTTCATTCTTAAAGCAGCTAAGAGAATGCTCTTCCATGGCCTCCATAGCCTCAGAAAAGCATGATTTTCTTATGATTTTTGAGACTCTGGACTCTGCACAATAGCACTCCCCATTCTCACATGGCCTCTGTAGTCTCCAAAAATGACATGAGAACAGGCATGCTTTTGAGAATAGTTGTTATCAGGTGTTTGTGAGCACGGATGTGTCTACCCAAAATGTTCATGACATGTCATCTTTGATACACATCATAGTTTTGCCATCACTGACCCATACTATGGAGATGGACAGAACTCAGTCTGTTCAGGACTAAAGCGTAAACAAATAAAAAGCCAGAAAGCATTCCTGTCTGCCTGCATACCATACCAATCCCAGATTTTTCCCTAAATTGTAACAGTAAAAGTAAAAAATTGCTTAAATAAAATGCCAAAACATATTAAATTATTAATATTTAACATATTAAAAACAGCTTAACAACAAAGCACATAAATAACAAAGTGATTAACACAGTTGGCTTCTGGCCATTTAAAGGGTGTGGAATTAAGTTTAAGTTCTCCACCCAGCCACCCCATTCATGCCAAGGCAGCAAAATTTGCTGCTGCCATATAAGCAAATTTAATGGGTGTGGCACATATACATATTAACTTAGACAGCTGCAATTTTACTCCTAATTCATACCTTTGGAACTCAAAAAGAGATTTAATTACAATGCTAATTAGAACTAATTACTGCATCATTTGCAACATGAATAACTACTGACCAATTGATCTCCCTCACAACATGGAAAAACCACTGGAGCATTTACTAAAGGAAATTTTTGAGCAGAGAAATATTAAAGTATTTGTGTGGCCCAAACTTAAATTTTCACAGCTACTTTAACTGACTAAAGCAAAAAGGAGCACTTGTAAAGTTATTATAGAGAGCAATACAAACCAAAGGAAATGCCAAATGAGGTTAGCTATGAACCAATGATGTGTTTAGTTGTTTGTTATGTAAATCCAAGGAACAGAAAAGGTCATCTGAATGCAAAAAAAAATTAACATCTTACTTCATATTAAAACAGATAGCTGTGTTTTATCCTAAATCAGACATGTCAAACTTGCGACGTCATGTGACGCCACGCAATGTATGGGCGCGGTTTCCTGGTGACGGGTCCGGCACACGGGCCGGCAGTTTGACACCCTTGCCCTAGTTGATGGACCAATAAGATTTTCTGTAAGTTATAAAGATGCATCTAACGTTTCCACAACATGCTCAATTACATCTGCACTGAAATATATAGTGAATATTGATGTTAGCTAAGTAACATGTAGATTGAAAGATATTTATTGGTTTTGTGTCTAATTTAAATTTGATATAATTTAAAATTCTGAAATGGATGTTACCAACCATCTACTGCAATCTAAAGGTATTATTTGGGTTGATATACTTGTCCACTGATCTAAACTTCAAAATGATTCTTTTGCCCTAAATTTTGAAGCGTTTCATTTTTTAAAAATAATAAGAAAGCAACTTGACTAACCTGCTTATTATTCTCATGGTAAGCTTGAACAAAGCACTGTGTAAACACCTGCATTACAATCATTATTTCTTGAGCTCCAGCAGTTTCCAGCAGGGCATTCCTGAGCAGTGAAAAGTTTAATTACGACAGGTCAGATTATGAGTATGCCAATCACACAGTCGCTAATTGAGAGAGGGAGGCAAAAAAAAAAAAAAAATACCCAAACAAGAACATTCTTCCCATGCCTCAAGCTTTGGGCTTAACTCATCTAGCTTTTAGACCGCATGGGAAGTGAAGAAAACCCCAACTTCATTTTGCTTGTCCTTGAATATGACTATATTAAACACCTGTCTATTACTGCCATTAGAACAAATCCTTCTGATGATGTTGGAACATTGTTTTTCAACTACAAACCATATGATTTACTATATCTACTATAATTGAAGTACACAGTTAAGTTTCTTAGTTACAAAATCTCACACCAGAATATGTTTTTAAAATTAAACAAATAGTGAAAATGGCAATAGAAAACATTCCTGTGCATTCTGTTACAATATTCTTTCATTTTCCTCAATCCCTAATATGCTGGCTTTGGAAATTGGAAGTATAATTATTTAATGAATCAATAAGTATGTTTTTGATGTGAAACTCCACAAATCCCATCGGCAATTTTATATAGAAACGATGAAGGTATTGGATAAACTGTTTTACCAGCCTCACTAATTTACCAGTTTTTCCAATTCTGTAACTTTGGGAAAAGAAAAGAACTGATTCTAGTGGAAGTAACCATTAAGTCAGTGTTTCCCAAACTTGACAATTTTAAGGCATGTGGACTTCAACTCCCAGAATTCCACAGCCAGCGTTGCTGGCTGTGGAATTCTGGGAGTTGAAGTCCTCATGCCTTAAAATTGTCAAGTTTGGGAAACACTGCATTAAGTGAACATAACAGAGGGAAGGGGAAGAGTAGAAATCTTCGTATTTACTGAACAAGAGTTTGCATTTCTAATCCCCAGTTCCCCAAAATGGCTGCTATCAACATTCTATACGGTGTACCTTTGCTCAGAAGGTGATCTGCTTCTAATCCATTCATTCAGGCTGAGAGTTTAAGAGTCAAAGAGTCTAATGATCAATAAGAGGTGCCTTAACCACTTAAATTAATTGCAAAGGAAGAGCATTCCATCAAAATAATCTAGGGAATGGGATTATGAAAGTCCCTGCTAATAAATCAGCTCTCTTCAGCTGTATACCTTATCTAATTTCCATAGAGAGATAAATAACTAAAAGCAACTTTTCTTTGTGCTACAGAATTAGCCATTTGTTTCAGATTCTCAGTATTTTAATTATAAATAATATATATTCACCTTTGCATACAATTTGATTCCCACAATATCAGAGAGACACCAATGCAATTTTCTCTGAAATATTGTGAAGTTGTCTGTCACTCCCTTTTGGGGGGGGGGATTATGTTTAAAATAATCCAGTCTAGTCTTCAACTCTTAGTTTTCCATCTAAGTCCTGTCAGGTCAGTTCCTAATTAGTTTCTGAATGGAACAAGGCCACCCTGATGCAATTAAATTCAATTGTTTACATTTTTATTTAAGTAATAGCAGAATATAAGGTAAAGTCAATCCCAAAAACAGTGTTATAAAAGAATCTGAAGCAGTTTTATGAAAAAGAACCATTGCAAAAATTCATCAAAAAAGTTCTGAGGCTAACATGTGAAAAGTAATGACTCCTGGTTAAGATATATTAAAGATCCCCATATCCATATACCTATACATACACACATATATACAAATCTTGACATGTAATAATTCATTCTCCAGCATGATGTGTAGAATCCACCGGTGGGTAATCTCAGCCTTCCTGCTCAGTTGAGACTAAGTCAGAAATCTGCCACGCCTCCTTCTGGGCTGGACCTTACCCAGTTTTTGACTTAGTCTTAGCTCAGCAGGACGCAATTATTCTTGGCTCCTCTGAACACTAGATTAGGTTAAATTAATCAAATTGATCAAATACTTAATTCCAAATTCACCTTAATTTTGACAGGATAATTTGGCTCCAAATTGATAGAGTTAGCTTGCAGCTGACTGCAGCCTCTGCTCCAACGAGCCTTGCAGGCTCCAACCGAGCAGGGTTTTTTTTCCATCCTCGGACTCATAGAGGCTACACCTAACCCTGATCCAGCTGATCCAGGAGATACGGGGGTTAGCCTTACCTGGATGATCCCCCACGGAGCCTTGGGAGACCGGACAGCCTTGCTGAAGTGCGACGTTGCCGTGAGGCTTCTGAAAACCCAGACGACCATCCGGATCTCAGTGGAGGCTGTGCAACGATCGAAACAGCAAGTATCCGCCTTTTCAGCCTTAGAGTGAGGCAACAGCCTTAAAACGACAGGCAGAGCTCCCTCAGGGTCTCCCAGGACAGGGAAAGCCCGGCTTTAATTTTGGCACGGCCGCCATTTTGGAGAGCCTCACAAAGTGCGGCTGCCATTCTGAGAGCCTTGCAAGGCCTCATTTTCACCATTCAGACTTCTATGCCATAATCCAGGCTCTCCTTTTATCCTGCCGTGACAGGCATGGATCGGGGGGCATACTCCAGCATTCTATTCTCCCACGATACTTCCCCCTGCCCAGAGTGTTTGTCAGGCCACAAAATCAGTGGGCGGCCGCCATTTTGAATTCCTCGGACAGCCCTCGGCCATCTCAGAATAATTGGCAGGCCTTTGAACCTTTTTGTAACAAGACAGCAGGCCTTTTTCAGAGGCATCACAGAGTCTTCGAGGCTTAAGGTCTGGGCCAGAGGGGATCTATTCAGAGCACACATCACCTCTGCAGGGCCTTAACCTTTGATCATTGATATCCACTCATGAGAGGGGGAATTTTATTAGACTCCACCTGTCCCATTTAGCCGTGTGGCGCTGTGCTGCAAGGCCTAGCAGATAATTCTAGGTGATTATCTGGCTGTCAGCCATTGCTGTTGCTCAGAGCGCGGGGTTTCCCTCTCTGACAACCAGATCTGCGTTCCTACCCTCCCCTGGACATCTCCTACCTGGAATATCCAGGTGGCAATGGCAGACAGTGTAACTCCTCAGCCATCGCAGGGCTCTTCTGCCCCCCCCCCCGCAGAAAAAAAGCACAGATCCTCTGATTTGGAAGCGGGGGGAAGGAAAACAACTAAGGCAAAGGCCTCGTCCACCAAGAAGCCCTCCAAAGCTGCTGAGAGAGAGGCCTCGAGGAGACATCAGGCGCTGGAGAAAGAGTTCTCCAGAGCTCAAAGGTTCACCTCCAGTGGAACAGAAGTGGTTTCCTCCGTTCCACTGGACCGCTCACCATTTGAGCCTCAATTCGGCCTCCCCATGATGCCCCCAGGGGGAAACTGGACAGGTTGGTCCCCCTCCCCCCCTCTTGCAAACACTCAGGGAATTTTCCCCTCCCCCACAACACAACAAGGCCCAGAAGCCACATATACTCCTACAGCAGCTGGCATCCACCCAACAGACCAACAGCGCACGTGGCCAGACCATTTTCAGGCCTTTATGCACCAGGCCTTTGCACAATACATGGCCTCCTCCATGGGTCAAAGGCCTTTGCAGATGCCTCCTCCTCCTCCGGCATCTCTGCCTCAGACAGGACCTGCCCTGTTTCCCACTTCGGGCAATTCTGACACTTCCTCCCAAGTAGGAGAAGATGACTCTGTGGACTTTGAAACTTCAGACATACCCATGTCAGAGAACGAGGAGGCAGCTCCAGATCCGTCCCTGGCATCTGGCCTATTTGACCCTTCTCTATTCAGGTCACTGCTCCTGAAGGCCTGTACTACAGCCAACATCACTACGGAGCAGGAGCCTAAGCTGGCGGCCACAACCGCCCAGGACTCGAACCCTCTGTTCTAAGATCGGTGGTCTGTTTCGATTCCCTGCCCATCTTTCTTCCACAGCACGGTGGAAAAGCAATGGTCTTCCCTGGGCACTCTTCCATCTCCCAGCAGGACCGAGAAAAAGCTTTTCAACATCTCTTCCTCCTTCTCTTCCCTCCTGGAGGTGCCACTCGTGGACACTCCCTTAACCTCCTTGTTTTCTTCATCCACCATTCCAGGAGACATGGCAGAGGCCTTGAAAGCGGAGGAGAAAAGATTCGAATTTTCCTTCTGCAGAGCTCACCAAGCCTCGGCGTGGGCGGTCAAGGCGGCGACATCATCATCCTTTTTCAACAGGTCGTCCATCATGTGGCTCCGCGAGCTCCAGGCGCTTATTCCCCCTGGCCAGGTGCGAGCACACCAGACGTTGGGCAAATTAGTCACAGCATCTGAATATGTGGCGGACGCATCGCTCCACTCTGCTAGGTACTCTGCCAAATCTATTGCGGCCAATGTCTTGTCCTGCAGACTTCTTTGGTTAAAGTAGTGGCGGGCCGATCTGAAGTCCAAGTGGCGCCTGGCGACCACCCCTTATAGCGGCACGCATCTCTTTGGCCCAGTCCTCGAGCCATATCTAATAGAGGGAAAGGACAAGCTCAAGGTACTTGCACACCCCTCTAGGAGGGCGGACAGAAAACCACAACAAGATTTCCATAGGCAGCCCTTTCGTACCAGCACCACCTGGGATTGGAGGCAGCCCTTTCAGGCCGGGCAGTCCTGGGATTGGCCCCGGAACTCTAGATCCTTCCCCCCTAGACAGGATCGCCAGCAGGACCGCCAGACCCCTAGAGCCAGGGCCCAGTACCAGACCAAGCAGCCATTTCAGCCCTCTGGAGGCCATCCATACAGACGGAACAAGTGACGCCAAGGAGACCTATCCCATAGGGGGTCATCTGTTCCTATTCAGCGACACTTGGGGAGGCCACCACCACAGACTCATGGGTGATAGACACCATATGATATGGCCTTGCCCTGGAGTTTTTATCCATATCTCCAGGGCGCTTCCTAGCGTGCCCCAACACGAGAAACACCACCAAGACAGGACTCATGTCCATGGCCATCTCCCACCTACTAGAGATAGAGGCCATCGAGCCAGTGCCCACGGAACAGAAGGGACAGGGGTTTTACTCCATTCTGTTCGTGGTACCGAAGGCCTTGGGGGGCTGGAGGGCGATATTGGACTTGAAAGGACTAAACTACTTCTTGGCCTACAAGCAGTTCAAGATGCAGACTCTCAAATCCATCCTGGCCAGCATCAGGAGGGGGAATTTCCTTACCTTCACATCCCAATCCTGCCCGAACACTGCAATTCCCTTCGGTTTTGCTACGCACACTGGCATTTTCAGTACAAAGCGCTCCCGTTTGGCCTTTCCTCGGCTCCACAGGTGTTCACGAAGATCTTAGCGGTATTAGCTGCCCATCTGAGAATGATCCCGGTGCGCGTACAATGCTATCTGGACGATATCCTTATCCAATCCCGCTCCTTCCATTCGGCTCAGTTGGACCTGGAAATCACCATCAGGACTCTTCAAGCTCATGGATTCTCTGTGAACTTCCAGAAGAGCCATACGGTCCCTTCATCTCATCTCCTTCACCGGGGGCAGTTATAGACTCAAATCTGTGCGAGGTCTTCCTTTCCCAGGAACAGCGGAACAGCATCCGGACCCTTATCCACCGTGTTCGGAGAGAGAAGGTAGTCCCTCTAGTCCAACTGTCTCAACTGCTGGGGAAGATGGTCTCCTGTATGGGGATCGTTCCATGGGCCAGGCTGCATTCCAGAGAACTCCAGTGGTTCCTTCTCCCCTTTCAGAAGCGGAACATGAGTTCTTCCACCAGGAGGGTGAGGGTCCCACGCCAGACACTGTCATCTCTTCTGTGGTGGACCTCACCGGCAATGGCCAAGGGATCCCTCTTCAAGGAGCCTGCCAGGCTCAACTTGACCACAGACGCCAGCCTGTTTGGCTAGGGCGCTCACCTCCAGACACATCTAGCCCAGGGTCAATGGTCCCGTTCAGACTTGAGCCACAACATAAACTGGCTAGAACTCAGGGCCATTCACCTGGCACTCCGCCACTTCTCCACCATAGTAGCGAGGCAGCACTTACTGATACTGACAGACAACGTGGCAGCCAAGGCACGTGAACAGGGAGGGAGGGACCTGATCCAAGTCCCTTATGCTCGAAGCCCACAGCCTGGGCTCTTTGGCAGAGGCCAATCTAGGATCCATCAAAGCAGAGCACATATCGAGGGAGGCGAACCATCAGGTGGACTCCCTGAGCAGGTCTATGGTGGACCACTCAGAGTGGCGCCTGGACCCAGTTCTGTTCAGGGAGATCTCGGACAGATTCAGCCAACCCCAGTTAGACCTCTTTGCCTCCCCAAACAACACCCAACTGCCCAGGTACTTCACCAGGTTCCCATCCCCAGGGGCAGAGGGAACAGATGCTCTTCACAGTGAGTGGCCCAAGGGGTTGCTGTACGCATTCCCTCCCCTCCCACTGATTCCGGCAACCATCCGCAAACTGCTTCAGGAGCAGCGGAGGTCATCTTGGTTGTTCCACACTGGCCGAGATGACCGTCATTTGCTGACCTCGTGGAACTTTCAATCTCACCGACATGGAGGATCCCTCCAGATTGTATCTCCTTCAGCCAGGGGGCCCTTCAACACCTGGATCCCCATTGGGTCCAGTTAGCTGCCTGGCACTTGAGGGGAGAAATTTAACTAGACAATCCTATTCTTCCAGGGTGATCTTGATGATCCAAGCTTCCAGACGCCCCTCGACTAATAGTATATATGATGCCACGTGGAGGAACTTTTGCCTGTGGTACACTAAGCACCAACTCCAGCCTCTTTCTGTCACCATTCCCAATATTTTAGATTATCTGTTGGAAGGTATGGATAAAGGGTTAACACCTAGCACTATCCGCAGACAAGTAGCGGCCTTGTCCACAGTGCTTACTTGTGACAATCTGGTCCCTTTAGCCCAGCACCCAGTAGTAAGCGCCTTTCTCAAGGGGGCGACTAACGCCAGACCACTGGCGGTTCGCTGCTACCCCTCTTGGGATCTTCCACGAGTACTACAAGCGCTAGTCTCACCACCGTTTGAGCCTATCCAATCTTGTTCATTAAGACTCCTTTCTCTGAAGGTGGCCTTTCTGATTGCAATCACGTCAGCCAGGCGTTTCGGAGCTGGCTGCCCTTTCAGTTAGGAGTGACCTGTATACCTTTTATGAGGACAGAGTGGTCCTTCGGTTAGATCCATCCTTCATCCTGAAGGTCAATACCTGGTTCCATAGGACCCAAGAGCTAGTACTTCCGGACTTCTGTCCCAATCCATCGCATAGGCTGGAAAGACAGTGGCATAAGCTGGCCATACGCAGGGTTCTGCGTTATTATGTGAAACGAACCTCTGCCTTTCACAAATCAGAGGACTTGTTTGTGTCATTCCAACCCTCTTCCATGGGTCAGAAGGTTTCCTCTTCGACCACTGGAAGGTGGATTAAGGCATGCATTGCCCATGCCTATCTCTCTCAGTCCCTACCGGTCCCTGGACGCATTACTGCCCACTCCACTCGCAGTGCGGCTACGTCAGCGGCCTGGTCTACCCAGGCATCCATTGAGGAAATCTGCAAGGCGGCAACTTAGTCCTCATCTTCTTCCTTCATCAGACATTACAAGCTGGACAAGTTTGCCTCTGCAGATGCTGTTTGGCCGGAGGGTGTTACAGCAAGTAATTTCTTCTGATGGGACACAAGCCCAGAATATTCCCCCCCCCCCGTAGGGACATGAGCGGCTTTGGTATGTCCCACCGGTGGATTCTACACTCATCATGCTAGAGAAGGGGCGTTGTCTTATCTGAACGCCTTTTCTCAGCATGATGATGTAGAATCCACACCCACCCTTAAAAGCCGTCTGGGCCTGTGTCAAAGTAGGAGGAGCCAACGCGCCGGACTTCGTCATGTTTTGCTTCGCCTTGGTCAAAAACTGGATAAGGTCCAGCTCAGAAGGAGGTGTGGCAGATTTCTGAGCAGGAAGGCTGAGATTACCCACCGGTGGATTCTATATCATCATGCTGAGAAAAGGCATTCAGGTAAGACAACGCCCCTTCTACCACATATGTATCTATCATATTCAAACAACTGCATATGATTTGATCATTTTAAATAGTTCTTCCTCCCACATAAATTACATGCAAACTTACTTGAAAATTTCATCAATAGTTCTGAACACAGCTGGATGACATGCAGCTTGATGCTGCAAAAAAAAATTGAGTAATTTAGAATCTTGTAGGAGAAAAAAGTCATTGTTTTCAACAATAAGAAAGAAAATGAATTGTAATTAGATTAGTTTAGCCTTACCACCAAAAAGTATTTTTCCTCCCAAATTGTGACTTTAAAAGGCCAATGAAGCTGGCAGTAATAATAATCAAATATATCTTACTAAGTACATACATACAAAATGAGAAATATGTTTAGCACAAAATAACCCCATTCAAAATGTTCATTTTATTATGAACTATGCTTCAATTGAATAAGACGTTCAAGGATGTCAATGTTTTGTGTTCCACTGGAGCAGAACACGATGTCAAGTTCATAGAAAAAGTGAGAAATTGGAACAAACCATTTCTTTTTGATGATAGGGCTATAGCAGGGGTCCGCAACCTGTGGGCAATGGCCCACTAGAAGGGTGAGAGAGGTTTGCAATTAGGCCGTGGAACCCACCAGTGAGTGCCCGTATCACTTATGCACGCAGTGTGAGTGCTCCATTTGCATGAACTGCGTATAAAAAAGCTGCACATGCTGTTTGCGCAAACCATCCCCTCCCCCCACCCCCCCCAATCGGCAAAGCCGGAAAGGTTGGGAAACTCTGGGCTATAAGCCTAAATGGGATAGAAATCCATGCAGATTGAGACCTGCCATTCAAGCTACAGAACAAATATTGAGAGGGAGAGGGTGCCTACCTGTCACTTGCTGCAATAAAAGTTATTTACAACAAAGGAACTATGATTTTTTAAAAGAAAAATTATCTACAGGTAGTTCTTGGCTAATGAAGGAAATTGGGACAGAACTGTTGTCACCAAGTGATGTAGTTGTAAAGCATAATGTCATGTGACGGTGTTGTTTAGGAATAGCAGTTCTGGCAGTCGCAGTCGCCACTGTTAAGCAAGAGTATAATGTTAATGGATATACAAAGAAAGTAGTTTAAAATCTCAAATCATCATGTTCAGCAACAATGTCTATAGGAAGTTTCTAAGTGTTTTCAAGTACATTTATGGAAAAGTACCTTTTGAACTTCCTTGTTCAATGTGGCAAAGTAAAGGGTTGAGAGGATATATATACAAAGACATGGGAGGCAGAGACTGCACACATGGTCTGCTCTACTCTGTTCAGCAAGAGACTAAACAAGACTTTGCAAAGTTGAACTTAAGATAACCCATACAGTAGTTTCCCTCTTCTAGCCTTGTAAGGCTAAACAAAATTAGCAAGTGGTCCAAGATCACCTTTTGAGGGGCAAGCTTCATTAGACCTGTACTGCCCCAGCAATTTCCATTTTTTATTGTTTTAGGAGAGACTAGTTTTAAATGGAGGTGTTATTATGAAACCAATATCACTGTTCTCCCCCAAAAATTATTAGGCTCCTCATATTTGATGAGTACCTGATCCCATGTTTTCTTAGCTTTATTCCAGTATTTTATCTACTATAAAAATGAGATTCCTGCTTTAATATTTTGTATTCTGAATTACTTTTAAAGATGGGATTGCCAAATTTACATGGATGAGATTCCATTGCTCCATGTTGTTTTCTTCTTTTTTGACAGCATTATCAATTACATAACTGCTATCTTATGTCTCACAGAACAATCTAAAGCAGAATATAGTCAAAAGTAAATTTATCACATTTAACTGTAAAATCTTTTTCTAATATTCACAGTACAAGTATTTTTTATGGTTTCTTCACTTGATCTACATTTTGTGAGTCAAATCTCATTGGTTTTATTATGTTATAATTAATTTTGAAGAAAAGTTTTGTTATTATTTTTACTTCAGTATTGAAAACCCTCTTTTGAAGTTGTGAAAACTGTAACTAAGCTAAAACTAATAGTAGAAAAGCATAAAGATCCAGGAGCAAAGGAGACAGAAATCTCAACTTGGCAAGTAAAATCCCAATGTCTTTTTCTTTTTAATTTTATTACCTCATTCTTTTCTCCTAAAATGTTCTACCAAAATTCTTCCCTTTCCTGACAAAGCACTTCATTTCCTTTCTCATGGAATCATATAGAGAGCAACTCTGTCCTTTATTTTTCATCTTCTTCTGAAATAAAGTGGTCCTTTTCCATGTGACTCAAAAGTGTAGGAAAATGTGGAAGGATAAAACGTGCACGAATAGAAGAATTTATCCCTTCATCCATACAGGGAAAGGATGAATGTCTCTTTTTGCACAAAGGAGAACAGTTTTAACTTAATTATGGCTGTCAAATGTCATATTTACAACATACAATCCACCTAGTTGGTGCTATTAATATTTAGTTTCCTGTAAGGGTTTTATTAAAATATTAGAGTTTTAAGATGTTGTTGTTTTGGATGTAAGATAAAAACATTTCATATTTCTCTAGAAAATACTTCAAGTGAATAATAGATAAAATTATAGGTTTCCTAGATATATTTATCATATTGTAATGCATAATATTAGAAGAGCATCCTTATTCTAAAAATTTGGTTCATTTCTTCTTAAATGCCACTATCATACTGAAAGGACTAGATGGCATCTTTCTCTGTGTCTTTAATTTTCTACCATACTATTGTATTTGTCATATTAAACTGTGCCACCTAGTGTTCATAGGAATTCATGGCTATTTTTCTCATATTTGTATGCAAAACAAGCCATTTCAAATTTTTTATCATTTCAAAGAGGATAGATATACTTAGTCAAAAAAGTATTCATTTTATAAATTGCTGTGTTACAAATATATGTAAAAAGAAGGCAGATGATTTGATTTTCCGGTCACCAAGGATAAGTATTTTTAAATACTAATAATAATAATAAAAAAAATAGTAGTAGTAGTAAATAATAATAAAGTTGGAAGGGACCTTGGAGGTTATTGAGTCCAAACTCCTGCTCAGGCAGGAAACCCTACACCATTTCGGACAAATGGCTATATAATTTTATTTACCACAGTCTTCAAGGCTTTTCTAACAATGCTAATTGTCCTCCTTTTTAATGTTTTGTTGCAAGAAGAGTAGCATTTGTTTAAAAAAAAAAAAAGAATTCAGGAATTCAACACAATAAGTAAAAAAAAAAAAAAAACCAAGTAATTGCAGCACCAAAAAAAAAAGTGGCAATTGAAATCCTGTTTAGATATGAAACTCACTGGGCATTTTAAAATAAATTACTGTTTCTGGAAACAAGCTACTTAATTGTTCCTGTGTAATTAAAGCATTGCTCTGAGTATCTGAGCAGAACCAAACTTAGTGATTTAATAATTATCTGCTAGCTGTCTCTGAATAATTTTATAATTTACATGCTCTGCAAATCTGATATGCTTTAGAACTTGAATCTAGCAATTCTATATGTGATTAACTGAAGTTTTCACATGCAGTTTTGGCATTTTATAACATTCCTTTAAAAGAACTTAAGCCTTGCTGCCATTTAGGCTCTAACAAAAAAAAAAGACTTTGGCTAAGAATATTATCCTGAATATTTATAGGCTAAACTGAAGGTAGAAAATTGCCTTAGCAATATAGAGTGGATCAGTGGACTATAGTTCAAAAGCAGCCAACAAGGAACTGAACAAAGAAAATCTTATTGTATTTAAAGTGATTTAAGCCCATCAAAATCTGAGGGGTTTTGTTTTATTTGTTTTTGTCAGTCTCCAATCTTATTTATACTCCACCGACTTTGGCTGATCTCAGAAGTTGAAGAGGGCTGCCTTCCTTTTATTTAGATATAGGACCACCTGGGAAAATCTGAATTGCTAGCTAGAATGGGAAGTAAAAAAATAATAGTAGAAAAATGGCAACTTTTTAATAATATCAAGACTAAAGAGCACCTTTACTTTTTATGTACTGTAGGTACAAGCAAATAGCCAAAAGAAATACCTGTGGTCAGCTGGGATATAATTAGCTAGCGAATATAGGATTTTGTGCCTATCTCCAAATATCCTTTGTGAAGACATAATGGCATTACGTTCAATTCTACTCCAGAAACAGGAATTTAGAAGGGAAAGAATGGCCAAGTTCATTGACTAGGCAAAAGTGGCAAATGTTTCTGTATATAACTCTGAAGTCTGAATAGCAGAACTATTGTCATTGCAGTAACCAGTGCTTTTTTTGTAAAAAAAAAAAAAAAAAAGGTGCCGGAACTCACACATATCATACAACCCGCCTTGCCTACCCTACAAGGTTCCATCCAAAAAAGGTGCCGGAACTCCGTTCTGGGCGTTCTATGAGAAAAAAAGCCCTGGCAGTGACTATGATACAAGGTAACCCTCAATTTACAACAGTTCATTTAGTGACCGTTCAAAATTATAACAACAATGAAAAAAGTGACTTATGACTAGATTTCAGACTTACATCCATTGGAGCATCCCCATGATCATGTAATCAGAATTCGGATGCTTAGCAACTGACTCATGGAATGTCCCAGAGTCTTGTGATCACCTTTTGCAATTTTCTTTCTTTTTTTTAAATAAAATTTTATTGATTTTATAATTTTTACAAATCATAAGTGCTTAATAAACGATGTGTTGTCTGGGTTCATTTTTTACTTAACAATATATATTAAAATTATTCTGCATCTTTTCTTTGTTCTTCAATATCGCTCTTGGTTTCTGCACATTCTAACATTTTCTTAATCTTCTCTTCTTCAAGTGATGATTCTTCACTTTTCAAAGACTAAACAGATAACAGTTCTTTCTACTATTAATACATATAACATACATACCACATTATGTTTATTCTTCATCATATTTTTCTAATATTGTATCTACTGACATTGTTTCTAAATTATAGCATTTTTTCTATCCAATTTGTAACTCAACTTTATTTGTAATTAGTCACCTTATTAGACCAATATCCTGTTTTCCCAGCTCGTTTTCATTTTGTTTTCCCTTCAGTATTCAAAATAACTTTGTACATTACGATTTTCTCAACAGTAGTTACATTGAGGTGAGTAAAACTTTCCTTATTAAAAACCATCCTGTTATTTTCATATTTCCAATCTCATAGAAAAATAAATCATTCTAAGTATAAATCATA